AGACACCTCTGTTTGCTATCAGTCTAAGAGAAAGACACTTCTGCTTGCTTTTGGCTATCAGTCTAAGACAAAGACACCTTTGCTTGCATTCAGTCTGGCTATCAGTCTAAGAAAAAGACACCTGCTGCTTGCTTCAGTCTATCAGTCTAAGAGAAAAGACACCTCTGCTTGCTTGGCTATCAGTCTAAGTCAAAGACACCTCTGCTTGCTCTGCTATCAGTCTAAGACAAAGACACCTCTGCTTGCTTGGCTATCAGTCTATGAGAAAGACACCTCTGATTGCATGGCTAAAAAAACAGCTCTCTGCTTATCAGTCTTGCTATCAGTCTAAGAGAAAGACACCTCTGCTTGCTTGGCTATCAGTCTAAGACAAAAGACACCTCTGCTTGCTAAAGAGACCTTGGCTATCAGTCTAAGAGAAAGACACCTCTGCTTGCTTGGCTATCAGTCTAGACCAAAGACACCTCTGCTTGTTTGGCTATCAGTCTAAGACAAAGACACCTCTGCTTGCTTGGTTATCAGTCTAAGAGAAAGACACACTTGTCTGTCTAAGACAAAGAAACCTCTGCTTGGCTATCAGTCTAAGAGAAAACACCTCTGCTTGCTTGGCTATCAGTCTAAGACAAAGACACTCTGCTTGCTTGGCTATCAGTCTAAGATAAAGAAAACAGTCTAAAACTAAAGACATCTCTGCTTTTTGGCTATCAGTCTAAGACCAAAGACACCTCTGCTTGCTTGGCTATCAGTCTAAGACAAAGACACTTCTGCTTGCTTGGCTATCAGTCTAAGACAAAGACACCTCTGCTTGCTTGGCTATCAGTCTAAGCTAAAGACACCTCTGCTTGCTTGGCTATCAGTCTAAGAAAAACACCTCTGCTTGCTTTGGCTATCAGTCTAAGTCAAAGACACCTCTGCTTGCTTGGCTATCAGCCTAAGAGAAAGACACCTCTGCTTGTTTATCAGTCTATCTTGGCTATAAGTCTAAGACAAAGACACCTCTGCTTGCTTGGCTTGCTATCAGTCTAGTCTAGGTCAAAGACACTTCTGCTTGCTTGCCTATCAGCCTAAGAGAAAGACACCTCTGCTTGTTTTGCTATCAGTCTAAGACAAAGACACCTTTCTGCTTGCTTTCTAAAGAAAAGACACCTCTGCTTGCTTTGCTATCAGTCTAAGACAAAGACACCTGATTGCTTGCTATCAGTCTTCCTTGGCTATCAGTCTAAGACAAAGACACCTCTGCTTGCTTGGCTATCAGTCTAAGACAAAGACACCTCTGCTTGCTTGGCTATCAGTCTAAGACAAAGACACCTCTGCTTGCTTGGCTATCAGTCTAAGACAAAGACACCTCTCTTGTGGCTCAGTCTAGACCAAAGACACCGCTGCTTGCTTTATCAGAGACCAAAGATTGCTTGGCTATCAGTCTAAGACAAAGACACCTCTGCTTGCTTGGCTATCAGCCTAAGAGAAAGACACCGCTGCTTGCTTGGTTATCAGTCTAAGACAAAGACACCTCTGCTTTCTTGGCTATCAGTCTAAGAAAAACACCTCTGCTTGCTTGGCTATAAGTCTAAGACAAAGACACTTCTGCCTGCTTTTGGCTATCTGCTTGCTTGGCTATAAGTCTAAGACAAAGACACCTCTGCTTTCTTGGCTATCAGTCTAGGTAAGAAAAACAGACACCCTGCTTGCTTGGCTATCAGTCTAAGACAAAGACACCTCTGCTTGCTTTGCTATCAGTCTAAGAGAAAGACACCTCTGCTTTCCTGGCTATCAGTCTAAGACAAAGACACCTCTGCTTGCTTTGCTATCAGCCTAAGACAAAGACACCTCTGCTTGCTTTGCTATCAGTCTAAGACAAAGACACCTCTGCTTGCTTTGCTATCAGTCTAAACAACAAAGACACCTCTGCTCGCTTGGCTATCAGTCTAAGACAAAGACACCTCTGCTTGCCTGGCTATCAGTCTAAGACAAAGACACCTCTGCTTGCTTTGCTATCAGTCTAAGAAAAAAGACTATCAGTCTCTGCTTGCTTTGCTATCAGTCTAAGAGAAAGACACCTCTGCTTGCCTGCTGCTTGCTTGGTTATCAGTCTAAGACAAAGACACCAGTCTGCTTGCTTTTGCTATCAGTCTAAGACAAAGACACTTCCTGCTTGCTTGTCAGTCTACCTCAGTCTAAGACAAAGACACCTCTGCTTTCCTGGCTATCAGTCTGCTCTGCTTTTGCTATCAGCCCTAAGAGAAAGACACCTCTGCTTGCTTTGCTATCAGTCTAAGACAAAGACACCTCTGCTTGCTTTGGCTATCAGTCTAAGACAAAGACACCCTGCTTGCCTGGCTATCAGTCTAAGACAAAGACACCTCTGCTTGCTTTGCTATCAGTCTAAAGACAAAGACACCTCTGCTTGCTTGCCTATCAGCCTAAGAGAAAGACACCTCTGCTTGCTTTGCTATCAGTCTAAGACAAAGACACCTCTGCTCGCTTGGCTATCAGTCTAAGACAAAGACACCTCTGCTTGCCTGGCTATCAGTCTAAGACAAAGACACCTCTGCTTGCTTTGCTATCAGTCTAAGAGAAAGACACCTCTGCTTGCCTGGCTATCAGTCTAAGACAAAGACACCTCTGCTTGCTTTGCTATCAGTCTAAGAGAAAGACACCTCTGCTTGCTTTGCTATCAGTCTAAGACAAAGACACCTCTGCTTGCTTTGCTATCAGTCTAAGAGAAAGACACCTCTGCTTGCTTGGCTATCAGTCTAAGACAAAGACACCTCTGCTTGCTTTGCTATCAGTCTAAGACAAAGACACCTCTGCTTGCTTTGCTATCAGTCTAAGAGAAAGACACCTCTGCTTGCATGGCTATCAGTCTAAGACAAAGACACCTCTGAGTTCAAAAGTGTTTGTCTAGGGTGCGATTGATTAATTGTCGTCTAAATGATGCAAAAATGAAAATAACATTGATATCTCATTTTAAGAAATATATTTTTTTTAATCATTTCCCCCCAAGCAAGGCAGCAATGTCACAAGTATGCAGGAGGTTACAGAGAGTGAAAGTTATAGACTAGACTGAGTATAGTGGTGATTGAGGAAAAGATAAAAGATGAACGGGATTCAAGAAGACAGAAAATGGCAGTTGACATTGCATTTAAATTTTTAAAGATTGTATTTACCAGGGAAGCAAGTAAAAGAAGTGAGTTCCACAGGCAGGAAGTGTGAGAAAAGAAACTAAAGGAGTAGAAGTGCTGATTACATTTAACTATTTTAAGAGTAAATGAGTGGGTCCCAGCTGCCATTCTAGTAGCATGCTTAAATTCATGTAGTCGAAGCACCAGGTAAAAAACTCATCAGAGGAGTAGCCATGAAGATATTTGTAAAAAAAACAGAGGTGAGAAAGTGACTGAAGTCAAAATGCCAATTTAGGATTGATTACATTACAGATCCTACTTTGGATTTTGTCAAGAACCTCGAGATAGATTAGCAGGCGCACCAGACAAGATATGGCAACAGTATACAATGCACAGTCAAATGGTAAATTTTTAAATGTACAAGATGAACTTTGACGAGAAAAACTTTCTGACATGACACAGTAACTCAACTTTCCTTGCAGTAGATGCTGCTATTGATTCAATATAGTTGTTCCACTTCAAGTCAGTTGAAAAAGTAAGACCAAGAATGCACAGTGTGTTGCTCTCTTGGAGTCAGCTATGCTGATGGCAGGCAGGAAAATATCTCTATGGGAGTTAAATGAAGGCAGTTTTGTTTTGGAGACATTAAAATTTACAAGCCATTTCCTGCCCCAGTGAACCATTGATTAGATTTCCTTTTCAAGAATAGCAGTCAGATTAACTTTGTCAGCTCTGACAGATTTTCTATTGAGAAATGAGTAAATTGTCATCTGCATGCCTACTTGGGAACTGATGATCTCAGGAAGATCATTGATGAAGATCATAAACAGCATAGGACCCAGGATATGGCCTTGGGGAACACCTATGTTCATGTGAAAGGATCTGGAAGCAAACCCATTCAAAACACCTTTCATACACTTATCAAAATTATACAAAAATATCTTGAAATACTAAAGAATAAATTTATTCAATAAAATGCCATTGGCTTCAACTACAATGTCCAGAAAACTTCAGAATCTCCTGCAACTCTTCTGGACAGTCTCCTTGTTTAAGTTGGTGAATGGTACCATCATCCTTGTCTTCAATTAATCTTTGGTGTTACAAGGAATTTTGTTGCTCTCTCGTTCAACTGTGCCCCTCACATAATCAAGGGTGTTGCAGTCTGGGGAGATAGGTGGCCAGGTGTAAGTGGGTGATGTAGTTGCAGAAATTGTTTGACAGCTATGAGTGGGTTCTCCTGCTTGTGTGGCATTGTGCAGAGTCCTGTTGACAGACATAGGGTTTTTCCAACAGCCACCCTCTTGATCCAGGGCAGCACTACCTCCTCAAGGCACTTGATGTAGGCCACCGTGTTGAGTCTGAGGCCCTTACCAAAAAATTCATGAGTTCTTTTCTTATCAGAGTGAGTTTTCCAAGTTGCCGCACTTTCATAATCACCATTAGACTCCTTACTGAATTCTCTGCAGTGTCCTTAGATTGACACCCAAACACTTCTGAAATGTTTGTATTGGAGCTTCCAGCATGAATGCCATGAAGTACAGCATGCCGCTTCCAAATTTCTGGTGAATTGTGTCATGGTGCTCTTTTTCTCACAGATGGTGCCCAACTGACTTTTCAATAATGTGCAGTCAGCAAAATCAAAGACAAACAACATGCGTGTGTGAAATTAAAAATATAAAATGACGACAATTTACCCATCGCACCCTGTATATGGAGCTGGCAATATTATCTCGTATAAACTTGATTGCTATGGAAACCACTATGCTGAAGCAAGTCATTTTTTCCTACTTGACTTGTTTAAAGTCAAAGATCAGACAGATCATACAAGTCTTGCCTATAAGAATTGCTATAACAATCATATCTATACAATCTATAACAATGGTTGGTCACACCACAACCTCACTTTCATGATGCTTGACACTACATTTGAATGAAAATTCTAACGTTTTTAGGCATTTAAAACAACATACCTGGCCGCATACACAATTCCATAAAATCCTTGTCGAAAACACAATTATACTTAAACATGAAAACAATAAACAAAAATTAAAAATTCTTGAAACTATGTACATAAAACAGTTGAAACCTAACCTAAACAAAATAAACTATGAAATCTCCACAAATATTCTTAAATGTCTATAATTGGTAACAGAAGCCATTGGTTTATACCAACGGCTTCCTATACTTAATAATTCTCAAATTCTCTCTCACGTGGTCATGTGTGACGTCATGAGCTGCAGTACGTTTTTCACTTCCAGCATCTTATATGCATGTGTTTATCGTTGCTTGGAAATCATCCATGGAAACAGAAACAGACTATCATCACATTCTTGTCCATGCTTATGTAAGCCGAAAGCTTACATTGGATTAAAAAAAATATGTATCAATATTGTGATTTTCTTTCTTCCTTTAATGATAATGTTATTAAGCTTATCAGATGTTATGAAAAGAATTTACATAAAATAAATAGACAAATCTTGTCTATATTATTTAATGAAACATGTATGAATGAAAAAATGCTGCCTAAATACACACAATCTATAACAAATCTACATTCTATAACAATCAAATATATACAATCATATAGTTTAAATAAGTTAAAGTATATTGACAATTTTTCTCCATCTTCTTTTTTCTCCATTGATGATCATGTCTCTCCACTATTTTCTTATTCTTTATAGATCTTAATAAATTTTGTTTTCTTGCCATCACTCCTGAACCTTGCACCACCATCCATTTACTCAAGCTTGATAGGCAGTTTATGGATTGTTTTCCTTTATCTCTCTTGCCTTCAGTCTATCCTATGAGTATCAGATTTTCCAATCCCTCCTTCCTCATTCTGTGTCCAAGAAATTTCAACTATTTCTTCCTGATGTTAATTGTAAGTTTCCTTTTAGTTTTGATTTTCTCCAAAACTTCATTATTGCTGACACGTTCAGTCCATATTATTCTCAGCAACCTTTGGTAAAACCACATTGCAATTGATTCATGTCTCTTCTTCATTTGTGAGGAGATTGTCCAGCATTCACTACCAGTATAGACAGACTTATATAGCAGTTCAGTGCTCTTTCCTTTGTATCCAACAAAATTTTCTTGTTTCTTAATACTTTGACTAGCATTTGAAAAGTATCTTTTTTTTCAATGCACCTTCAAATTTCAGCATTGCTCTTTCCGTCCTCTGTTAAAACACCTTTCAGATATTCAAATTTTTAATTTGTTTGATTTTGGTATCTTGCATGTTGCTCTGTTCCTTTTGCTACCTTCCACTGGGAAAAAATGTATAAATTTTTATTTTTAAATTCAAGTTTCTGATTATCAGCTATGTAACTTTTCGGTTGTGATCGAAAATTAGATGGTGAAGAGTGATAATAGTGATATTCACCTAAAAAATCAAACGAAATAATCAAAAACTGATGTAATTTTAGTTGGTCAAATTTACCGACAAATTTTAAGGATGTGAAAGAAATGCAATCTTAAAATGTAAAGAGATTTAAATTTGTATAACATGGTTAATGTAGCTACTAAATGAGCCTTTTAACATATTTGTCTTCTAAGAATTGATTCACATAACTGTCTGGTGAAATTTCCAAAATAAAATAGTGAATTTGGAAATTCTTTGGATGGAGCATTTTCACCATTATTATTTTAGTACTAGTTTTACTCCAATGAAGAATTCTTACTATTATTACTAGTTTTATTCCATTCTATTATTGTTGCTTTTTAAATGAAACAATTTCACTATAATTATTTTATTACTAGTTTTGCTCCATCTTAATATTGTTGATTTTTAAATGAAGCATTTTCATTATTATTATTTTGCTACTAGTTTTACTCCATCTTATTATTGTTGCTTTTTAGATGAAACATTTTCACTGTTATTATTTAAGTAATAGTTTTACTCCATCTTATTATTGTTGCTCTTTAGGTGAAGTATTTTCATTATAAATACTTTACTAGTGTTACTATTATCATTTATCTAAAAATCAACAATAATAAGATGGAATAAAACTTATAATTTTGTATGTAATTTTCTTTCTTTCTCTTTTTTTGCACTAGTTTTTTCCCCACTTTTGTTTATCTTAAATATAGAGATTGAACTATCTCACTGACTATTCTCTCCTTCTCCATCACACTCTTTTTCTTTCTTTCTTTCTCTCAAGGTGAGAGCCTGCCTGTTCAAAGTAAAAAAAAAAATGCCCCAAACACTTAAGGTAGTTTCTAGTTTTCTCATTTATATTTTTAGCCCCCAATATATAAATAAACCCATTATCCCTTTCTTTTCTTTCTTTCTTTCTTTCTTTCTTTCTTTCTTTCTTTGTGTGTGTGTGTGTGTGTGTGTGTTCGCCAGATGATGAAATCCTGTTTTATCCTTTCTTTTCTTGAGTTTCCCAAAGTATGGAGTTCCCTGTTAAATCCTAAAATGTGTGAATGGCTGCTGCAATGCCGTGTAATTGGAGCCAGACATAGAGTAGTCATCATTTAGTTTAGAAGTTTTCTTTTTCTTATATACATTATATATAATGCCGAGAGGCCCTCAATAGATCTCAAACTGCCTGGCAGGAATAAAATCTGTGAATAAAAGCAAGTTAAAAACATTCTTATAGAACGAGTAAGACTTATTTTCTTTTCTTTTTTCAGTGTTATTCTTTATATCTAACCTAGATTTTGAAACATAAAGGAACTTGACACAATTTAAGTTTTTATAACAACCAGCATAATTAAAAGAGAAACGAAAATTAATGTTTCTAAAATATCAGGAAAATATCTATGTAATTCAAGACAACTTATTTGGCATCATATGAACATATTTTCTTTTGGCTACCATAGGCTGTAAGCAATCATGGACCTCCGCATCTTCCTGCTCCTTGTAGCTCTTAATAAATTTTGTCTTTTTGCTATTTCTCCTAAAGCCTTGCATGGAGTATTGCTGCCATATATGGTCAGGAGCCCGTTCTGTTTGCCTTGGGGTTCTTGATAAGATCCAGAGACGGATATGCAATATAATTGGCCTTGATCTGGCATCTTGTCTGCAGTCGTTCTCTCACAGACGCGCCATCGCCTCTCTCTGTCTTTTTTACAAATACTTTCATGGTAACTGCTTCCATGAGCTGCTTTTGCTGGTTCCCAGACTTTGTGAATTCAAGCGTCCTATGAGGCTGGCATCCCGTTCTCACCATTTCACTGTTGAAACTGTTAAATGTATCCGCCTCTTCTACTCCAGTAGCTTCATATCTCGCACCTCTTGCCTGTGGAACTCCCTTCCCTTTTCCTGTTTCCCTGATAGCTATAATCTCCAACTATTCAAATGTAATATCAATCGACATCTCCAGTTGCCTTGATCTATCCACTATCCTTCTTCTTATCCTTTCCTCTATCATTCCTATCTGCTCTCGCTCCAAATCTTCTGTAACCCCTTGTGTGCTAGTGGTTTCCCACCTTGCTAGGGGTGAAATGCTTAACCCCCCCCCAAAAAAAAACCCTGTTTTGCCATTCATTTACTCAAGCTCACTATCTACATTATGCATTCTTTTTCTCTGTCCCTATTGCCTTCAACCTGTCCTGTGAGTATCAGATTTTCCAAGCCCTCCTTCCTCATTATGTGCCCCAGAAATTTCAACTGTCACTTCCTGATGTGAAGTATCAGTTTTTTTTGTTTCCATTTTCTCCAAAATTATTTTCCTCTCAGGATGTAGGTGATCATGGCCCTCTACATCTTCCTGTCTCTTGTAGTCCTTAATAAGTTTTGTACTGTTGCTATTTCTCCAAAAACTCTGTTCAGCTATCTGTTTACTCAAGACAACCAAGTATGTTCTGCACTGTTTTCTCAATCCTTCTTTCCCACAATCTGTCCTGTGAGTATCAGATTTTCCAAGCCCTCCTTCCTCATTACATGCCCCAGAAATTTCAACTATCTCTTCCTGATGCTAAGAATAAATTTTCTTTTTGTCTCCATTTTCTCTAAAGCCTAATTATTGGTCACATGTTCAGTCCCTGGTATCCTCACCATCCTTCTGTAGAACCACATTTCTTATTGCTTCAAGTTTTTTCATCATCTTTGAGGAGATTGTCCAGTATTCATTGCCATTAAGTACTATTGCAAACTGAACACTGTTATTAAATTAAACCTTTAATATTTGTTTTTTATATTCCTAATTTTTTTTTTCATTTTTAAACATTATGTAAAGCAATAATGCACCTTAGCACACCCAGAGTTACTGGGAGTGAAAGCATCTGTTTATTTTCAATGTATGCAGTTAACATTTGTTTATGAAAATAAACCTAGAATAAAGAATTTTTATTTATTTATTTAATCCTTCCACCCCAAAGAAGGTGATAAAGCCACTAAGATGCAAGGAGTTACTGAAATTGAAAGAGAATGAGAAAATATAATGAAGAGAAAGGACAATGAAAAAACAGGGTTCAGAAAGACAGAAGATGGCGTTTGATATTGCATCTAAATGTTTAAAGATAGTAGTTGGAAGGAAGCAAGGAACCAGAAAAAAGTTCCACAGGTGAGAATTGTGAGAAAAAAAACTATTAGAATAGAACTTGCAGGTACATCTAGCTTAATTCAACAGTAAAATGATGAGACCTAATTGCCAATCTAGTAGTATGCTTAAAATTTATGTGGTTGAAGTACCAAGGAGAAAAGTAATATTTATTTTGAGAATACAAATATGTGGCACAAGGCCAAAAGGGGGCATAGGAGGATGCTGGTCTTCAATCTGTCTTATCTTAAACTTGCTATGATTATTGACCCAAACATACTACACTATTCCTTACACCGAAACTACACATTATTATTTACCATTCTTACTACAGCCACCATAATACCTCAGAGTCTCTATGTAGTCTTAACTAGTTCCCATATGTACAGTTTGTCACTGGAGTGAGGGGGGAATAAAAACAACTTTTAAAAATGAAACCTCAATGAATATTTACAATGAAAACAATTTACCAAGGTGGAAATTTCATTAGAACAATTGCCATGAAACTTTTTGTGATGTACAGTGGCCGTTAATAATTAAGTCTAACTCAAGACTTCAATGTTAAATAAAACAGTATTTAATTACAACTGCAAATAAATACTTAACAGGAACAGAGAAGTAAAAGTCAGTCAAAGATAATTAAACATTTCAGTGAATAATTTGTTAGTAGTGTGGCTCGGCTTAACATCCGGTAAATTCTAAATCAAAACCCAAATCATCGACGCACAATAATTCACACTAATTCGACTGGATAGTTCCATTCAATAGTCACTCAATAATCACTGCAGTCAGTAGCCTGATACCGCTATTTATACACCTGGCAGAAAACATATATACATAAGACAAGAGTGCCACGCCAGAACCTCAGTATTGCTAGTTACTTATTTTGTTTCTATATGACAAAAATATTTATAGAAAAAACAGATGGTGGCAGAAAAGGGACTGAAGCCATGATGCCAGGTTAGGACCTATTATATTACAGACTTTTATACAACAGAAGCACCAGACCAGATATGGCAGCAATATTCAATGAATGGACAAATGGTAGATTTATAAATGTGCAAGATGGATTCTGGCAGGAAAAATTGTCTGGCATGAAACAATGAGCCAAAATTCCTAGCAGTAGATCTGGCAATTGATTCACTATAATCTCTCCACTTCATGTCATTGGAAAATGTAAAGCCAAGAAGGGAGAGTGAGTTTCTCTCTTGCAGGTTAGCATCAGCCATTCTGATGGAAGGCAAAAATGGTTCCCTATGAGGATTAAAAGATAGCAGTTTTTTTTAGGAGGTAATAAAATTCACAAGCCATTTCTTACCCCAGTTAACAAGTGACTGACAGTCATTTCCAAGAGCCCCTACCATTTTTATTTTGTTGGACCTAACAAACTTACTGTCAGGACAGGAGTAAATATTTTTGTCATCAGCATAAATACAGTGTAATACAAATCCTGGAGGTCAGAATCAGGCATGCTGATTGAAGGCAGAAATGGTTCTCTATGGTGATTAAAAGATGGTAGTTTTGTTTTGGAGGCATTCAAATTTACAAGCCATTTCTTGGTCCAGTTAACAACTGATTAGAGGTAATTTTCAAAAGCAGCTATCAGTTTTACTTTGGAACTTTTTACATTGGAACTATTGAACTTACAGTTATGACAGGAGTAAATAGTTATTTTTGTTTTTTATAATCATTTCACCCCAAGCAAGGCAATAATGTCACTAAGACACAAGGGGTTACTTGGAGTAAAAGAAAATGAGAAAACTTTAGTGAAGAAAAAGGTAAGTAAAAAAACAAGATTCAGGAAGACAGAAAATGGTAATTGGCATTTCATTAAAATTTTTGAAGATTGTCAGGGAAACAAGAAATCGTAAAGGAGTTCCACAGGTGAGAACTACAAGGAAAGCAACCTATTAGAATAGAACATACAGTTGCATTTCAACAGTAAAATGGTGAAACATAATTACCAATCTAGTAAATTAGTCATACGCAGTCAAATCAAATCTCATCATAACAGTTGCCAAGAAAATATTTGTAGTAAAGACAGAGGGAAGCCACATAATGTCAGTGAGAAAGTGACTGAAGTCAAGATGTTATGTCAGGTCAATTGCATTACAGACACTTCTTTGAATTTTGTCAATCTCAGCATAAATATCTAGTTGGGAACTTATCTGGGGTGCTTAATCTAGAGTAATATATATATATATAAAAAAACTAAATATCTGGGAAGTGTTCTGACAGTAGATGCAACACCGGGATCCAAAGATGGATTGGGATGGCCAAGAATGCATCTCAAAAGCTGGGCAGAGTACTGTGAAACAGGAGGATTTCTTTGATGATAAAGAAAAGAGTACTGAGCTGCTATGTGACATCTGTCTAACCCCAGCAAATGTTGGATGGTCTCCTCAAAGAGACTTGAGGCAGTGAAAATGTGGTTCTACAGAAGGATGCTAAGGATATCATGAAGTGAGTGTGTGATCAACGATGAGGTCTTGGAGAGGAGACTTATACTTAACATAAGGAAGAGGCATATGAAATTTCTGGGACACGTAATGAGAAAGGAGGGCCTGGAGAATCTGATACTCACAGGTCGAATAGAGGGAAAAAGAGACAAAGGAAAGCAACGCACGACATACCTGGTGGGCTTAGGCAAGTGGATGACAGAACATGGTCTGGGGGAGGTGGCAGAGGAACAAAACTTATTGAGAGCTACAAGGGATAGAGGGAAGTGGAGAGCCATGATCGCCTACGTCCTGAAAGGACATGGCACATAAAAAGAAAGAAGAAAGTTTTCTGGTTATGGTGCTTCTACCACAGCACAAATTTAATGTT